CACACTTCAAACTACTCAAACACTGACACACACTTCAAACTACACTCAAACACCGTCACACACCTCACATTACACTCAAACACTGACACACACTTCAAACTACACTCAAACACTGACACACACTTCACATTACACTCAAACACCGACACACACTTCACACTACACTCAAACACCGACACACACTTCACACTACACTACACTCAAACACTGACACACACCTCACACTACACTCAAACACTGACACACACTTCAAACTACACTCAAACACTGACACACACTTCACATTACACTCAAACACCGACACACACTTCACACTACACTACACTCAAACACCGACACACACTTCACACTACACTACACTCAAACACTGACACACACCTCACACTACACTCAAACACTGACACACACTTCACACTACACTCAAACACTGACACACACTTCACATTACACTCAAACACTGACACACACCTCACACTACACTCAAACACTGACACACACTTCACACTACACTCAAACACTGACACACACTTCACATTACACTCAAACACTGACACACACCTCACATTACACTCAAACACTGACACACACTTCACACTACACTAGACTCAAACACTGACACACACTTCAAACTACTCAAACACTGACACACACTTCAAACTACACTCAAACACCGTCACACACCTCACACTACACTCAAACACTGACACACACTTTACATTACACTCAAACACTGACACACACTTCACATTACACTCAAACACCGGCACACACTTCACACTACACTCAAACACTGACACACACCTCACACTACACTCAAACACTGACACACACTTCACACTACACTCAAACACTGACACACACTTCACACTACACTCAAACACTGACACACACTTCACACTACACTCAAACACTGACACACACCTCACACTACACTCAAACACTGACACACACCTCACACTACACTCAAACACTGACACACACCTCACACTACACTCAAACACTGACACACACTTCACACTACACTCAAACACTGACAAACACCTCACACTACACTCAAACACTGACACACACTTCACACTACACTCAAACACTGACACACAATTCACACTACACTCAAACACTGACACACACCTCACACTACACTCAAACACTGACACACACTTCACACTACACTCAAACACTGACACACACTTCACACTACACTCAAACACTGACACACACTTCACACTACACTCAAACACTGACAAACACTTCACACTACACTCAAACACTGACACACACTTCACATTACACTCAAACACTGACACACACCTCACACTACTCAAACACTGACACACACTTCACACTACACTCAAACACTGACACACACTACACTCAAACACTGACACACACCTCACACTACTCAAACACTGACACACACTTCACACTACACTAGACTCAAACACTGACACACACTTCACATTAGACTCAAACACTGACACACACTTCACATTACACTCAAACACCGACACACACTTCACACTACACTCAAACACCGACACAACACTGACACACACTTCACATTACACTCAAACACTGACACACACTTCACACTACACTCAAACACTGACACACACTTCACACTACACTCAAACACTGACACACACTTCACATTACACTCAAACACTGACACACACTTCACATTACACTCAAACACTGACACACAGTACACTACACTCAAACACTGACACACACTTCACACTACACTCAAACACTGACACACACCTCACACTACACTCAAACACTGACACACACTTCACACTACACTCAAACACTGACACACACTTCACACTACACTCAAACACTGACACACACTTCACACTACACTCAAACACTGACAAACACTTCACACTACACTCAAACACCGACACACACTTCACATTACACTCAAACACTGACACACACTTCACATTACACTCAAACACTGACACACACTTCACATTACACTCAATCACTGACACACACTTCACATTACACTCAAACACTGACACACACTTCACATTACACTCAAACACTGACACACACTTCACATTACACTCAAACACTGACACACACTTCACACTACACTCAAACACTGACACACACTTCACATTACACTCAAACACTGACACACACTTCACACTACACTCAAACACTGACACACACTTCACATTACACTCAAACACTGACACACACTTCACACTACACTCAAACACTGACACACACTTCACATTACACTCAAACACTGACACACACTTCACATTACACTCAAACACTGACACACACTTCACATTACACTCAATCACTGACACACACTTCACATTACACTCAAACACTGACACACACTTCACATTACACTCAAACACTGACACACACTTCACACTACACTACACTCAAACACTGACACACACTTCGCTCAGGCATTTCAGGTGCTGAGATCGGCCCGCGGTCAGTCTTATGCCCAGAGGAGTTTATTCTGTGAATGTCTGTGAAATTCATCAAAGTTTTTCTATGCAAATTTTAAGGATTTTTGTGGATCTTGCCATTTCCATCCAGCAGTTTTTTATGCACGTCATTTTTAACTTATACAGAAAGTTTTCTTTTTCTTTTCGGAAAGACAATTGAACAATAAGTTTCAAAACAACAGTATGATCCGATGAGCTTGCTGTATCTCTGTCCCTCACAGCCTGTCTGAACTCCCGGCTTCTGCTGGATCCTCAAACATGCAGGCGGGAGAACAACAGAGACAAGTCCTGGACGCACGTTTCTTTACCATTCATTCTGGATATTGTACCAATCTCTTCCTTCCAAAACGCAGTAGGTTCAAGATCCTCCATCCGATCCACTCTACGTGAGCGTTGTCAGCAGGGTTCCTACACTGCGGTCCCCCAGAGCGCTCTACGTGTCTCCTATGCAGCACACACTCACTCACACACACACACACACACACACACACACACACACACGAGTCGGACATCTAAAGCCTTCAGGAGGAGGGTCCCGAGGACTGCAGATGAGGAACTGCTGCTCAAACACACTGCCATGGAGGTTTCTCGTGCATCTGGAGAACACTTCAAAATGAAATTGTCTTCATTTACTCGCCCTCAAGTTGTTTCAAGCCTGTATGAGTTTCTCTCTTCTGATGAACACAATAGAAGATATCTGGAATAATGTTGGAATAAACCATTGACTTCCACAGGAGGAAAGCAATACTGTCGATGGGGTCCATCCATCAACTCTCTGGTTACAGACATCCTAAATATCTGCTTCTGTTCCTTTAATTATCTGGTCTCTCTTCTGCCATTTCTTCTACTGATACAAATGATTTTTGGATCTGAAGTTATTTAAAAAAGTGAGTCTGGGGAATGTTGTATCTCTCCCTTCAGCTTTGAAAAGACAGCAGTGTGTTCTCTGCATTGAGGTGTGTTATCCTGCGTAAGCCGTCCTGCCAGACTGATTTCATGAAATGGCGTATGTATGATACGCCAATTCGTATTTCCATTTTTGGCGTGGTATCAACACGCATAATCGCTTTTCAGCGTGTTTATCAACGCCGTGGACTTAACGTTACATTCCTGTATATATAAATATATGACCTACCCCAACCCCGTCCCTAAACCTACCCGTCACTGGGGTTAATACCTCATTTATGAGTCTTCCCCTACCATCCTAGGAAAAAAATATCGCTCCCCAGATGTAGATCTACATTTTGCTTTGTTTCGCTCGGACGTTTAACGGCGTGGACATACACGCGGATAGCTCAAAATGCATATAGATAACACGCCACTTGACTTGAAAGTGGCGTGTATGTTTACGCAAAGTCATGATGTCATGTTGGTACTGCAGCACCGCTTCATCTGGAGTCCAGCTCGCCAGGAGTGTGTGCTCGTAATCCTGAAGACTGACGGCATCTGTCAGGTGTGTGTGATCAGGGCTGGAGCTGAACTCTGCTTTAATGCTCCTTTCAAGTTATCATGAACAAAGTTGGCCATTAGAGTGGACGAACCCCTTCTCTGAGCAGTGTGTGACAGATGTGTGTGTGTGTGTGATGGACAGCACCTGTACCTTCTCTGAGCAGTGTGTGAGCGTGACAGATGTGTGTGTGTGTGTGTGTGTGTGTGATGGACAGCACCTGTACCTTCTCTGAGCAGTGTGTGAGCGTGACAGATGTGTGTGTGTGTGTGTGTGTGTGTGATGGACAGCACCTGTACCTTCTCTGAGCAGTGTGTGAGCGTGACAGATGTGTGTGTGTGTGTGTGTGTGTGTGATGGACAGCACCTGTACCTTCTCTGAGCAGTGTGTGAGCGTGACAGATGTGTGTGTGTGTGTGTGTGTGTGTGATGGACAGCACCTGTACCTTCTCTGAGCAGTGTGTGAGCGTGACAGATGTGTGTGTGTGTGTGTGTGTGTGTGATGGACAGCACCTGTACCTTCTCTGAGCAGTGTGTGAGCGTGACAGATGTGTGTGTGTGTGTGTGTGTGTGTGATGGACAGCACCTGTACCTTCTCTGAGCAGTGTGTGAGCGTGACAGATGTGTGTGTGTGTGTGTGTGTGTGATGGACAGCACCTGTACCTTCTCTGAGCAGTGTGTGAGCGTGACAGATGTGTGTGTGTGTGTGTGTGTGTGTGTGATGGACAGCACCTGTACCTTCTCTGAGCAGTGTGTGAGCGTGACAGATGTGTGTGTGTGTGTGTGTGATGGACAGCACCTGTACCTTCTCTAAGCAGTGTGTGACAGATGTGTGTGTGTGTGTGATGGACAGCACCTGTACCTTCTCTGAGCAGTGTGTGAGCGTGACAGATGTGTTTGTGTGTGTGTGATGGACAGCACCTGTACCTTCTCTGAGCAGTGTGTGAGCGTGACAGATGTGTGTGTGTGTGTGTGTGTGTGTGATGGACAGCACCTGTACCTTCTCTGAGCAGTGTGTGAGCGTGACAGATGTGTGTGTGTGTGTGTGTGTGTGATGGACAGCACCTGTACCTTGGTGAAGAGCAGGAGGACGGGCCGCTGAGTGCTGGTGCAGAGCCGTCTGAAGACACTGGAGGGCAGCATGACTGTGAACGACACCCATCAACAGTGTTATCATCAGCCCGAGATCACTGAGAACATGCATGCTTCATCATCAACGGTGAAAGGTGAGAGCAGGGCTCGTCGCACAGTCAGAAGCTGCTGTAACCACCAGCTCATACCTGTAAACTAGCTTAGTTATGGTGAGTTTTCAGCAATAGAGAATTCGTAATCAAGTTAACACATGCTTTATGTGTTTTCATGTAATTTTATGCAGGTCATTATAGGGTTAATTACAAGTTCTGCCAGCCCAAACAAGGCCTTAGAATTCTGGGTAAACTTAATATAAGGCTAATTTATTAACATTAGTTAACATGAACTAAC